TTTTTCAAGGGCACATGGGACAGTTACCATCTGATCACATTTGGACCAAAGAACATCTCAAGGAATTTCTAAGGACGAAAATTAGTTGAAGCACATTTGCTGATCACAGTAAAATTAAATCAAAAATTAATGTTTAAAAAACTAGAAAGCCTCTCAAATAACTTGAAATCAAGCAATATGCTTCCAAAAAGATCCACAAATGCAAGGAAAAAAGAAAAAATTAGAACACATTGGGAATTGAATTACAATGAAAATATTATACACAAAATTTAAGAAATGTTGCTAAAGCTATACTTAGGAAATTGATCATTTTAAATAGCTACTTTCAAAAGAATGATTAAAAATTAAGAATCTATCTTTCCCAATAAACTATTAAAAGAAAAGGAGCAGCCAGGCACAGTGGCTCACGCCTGTAATCTCAGCACTTTGGGAGGCTGAGGGGGGCGGAACACAAGGTCAAGAGATCAAGACCATCCGGGCCAACATGGTGAAACCCAGTCTCTACTAAAAAAAATACAAAAATTAGCTGGGCTTGGTGGTGCGCGCCTGTAGTCCCAGCTACTTGGGAGGCTGAGGCAGGAGAGAATTGCTTGAACCCAGGAAGTGGAGGTTGCAGTGAGCCAAGATCCCACCACCGCACTCCAGCCTGGCGCCTGGCGACAGAGCAAGAGTTTGTCTCAAAATAAATAAATAAAAAGGAAAGGTATTCAAAACCAAAGAAACTGATAGTAAATAAATTATAAAGAACAGAAATTAATAAAATGAAGACAATACAACAAAGAAATGTTAAAAGCCAAAAATTATATCTTTGTTAATATTAATCAAATTGGTTTACTCTATCAAAACTGAGTAGGCCATAAATGATCAGTATTAGAATTTAGAAAGGATCTTACATGTTAAAAAGATAGGAACAAGTTTATATAATAAACTTGGCAACATGAATGAATTGGGAAAAAATTCCTGAAAAGTATAATTTATTAAAAATTATGCTTTCAATATAAGCAAAACATCTGGAGCCTTCTTGTATGAGTCAGAGTCCAGTCAGGAACTAAATCTCACTACTTAACTTAAAAAGCGATTTAATATAATAAATTATAAACTGATACCAAAGGGTTAACTGTTAAGAGGGGTAAAGAGAAGTCTGAAGAATAGAAGGACATATTTAGGAAGTAGTCGTTACCTATTTCCTAGGGCTGAGGAGAATTACACAAGACACCCCCCCTCACCACGACCACCACAAAGCTGAGCTGTGAGCATCATTGGGTGTGACTGCGGCCCACTGGGTGCCAGAGAAGTTGCTGAGGTGCCAAAGGGTGGAACTTCTGAGCAAAAACCACCTCCTTGAGTGCAGGTGAAAATCACCAGAAACAAACCTTCTTGTGTGAAGTGTGACTCTCTGGGAAGCCACACATTTTGGTGCCAGCACAACTCATTGGGATGCCACCTGCTAAGAAGCTGGCACAATTTCTAGGAAGCCACCCTTAGAGTTAAGTGGGAGTTAAATAGGTATCACTAACCTCTATTTCGTTCAAGCTTTTGATTGTGGCATTAACTTCTGCAGCTCACTCGCAGATGAGGTATTATTCCTGCTTTACTACCTTGCTAGGGAGGGGAAATTCCAGACACTTTCATTTAGCACTTTTTACCATAATAGCATTCATGCCCATGGGTCCAGAGTGCCATTGAGCAAGTCCTGTCAGTTCTCAAGTATGCTTGTCCCAACTACATGCACAGGAACATGTGGGGGTGAGTCAACATACCAACTGGAGCCAATGAGAGAGGGACCCTGGCTATTACTTTATCACGGCAAGCCTCCAGGTTGGCTAGGGGACCACAGTGGCATTTTGGGGCCGTGGGAATTAGGATCGAAGCAGGGGCAATGTCTAGTAATTTTTTAAAGGTTTGAGTATTTCCTTTTCCCAAAGGTACAATCATTTTAATAAATGGCCTGTTCCTGTCGAGAGTTAATGTTTGTTTAAAAAAATAGTGACATAAGCCTGCATATAAATGGAGACATTTGAAGATTTTTAAGAAATAATAATATTTAAAGGAATGCCCATGAAAGAGAGAAAGACAGAACAAAAATAATATAAAAGACTCCAGGCTTAGGAACCACACTTTGGGACTTCTATTTCCATAGAATCTTTAATTTATTATCATTTCAATTTTGAGGAATAAACTCTTAGAAATACTACAGAAAACATTTATATGTCCATCATTCGTAAGTGATTGTTATCAGCATTTTATTGTACTTCAATTTTTTAAATAAAAGAAAATATTACAGACAAAATTTTAAATTTTACTGGATCCTGAACCTAATCCCAGTCAATCTGTCCTCCTAATTGTTGTGTGTGAAGGTAACCATTACCATGAATTTAGTATATTCCCTTCTTATCTATTTTTAACTTTTGTACACATGCATGTATTTGTGAATTATGTATGCTTGTCAGTTTTTTTAATATGCAAAAATGGAATTTTACCATTTTTATTCAACATATAGATATATTCATTGAGGCATATACATTTAGTCAATTTCTCTACATTTTATCATTTATTAAACATTTAATACATTTAAAATATTATAAATAATATGAATATTATGAAACATAAAATATTGTCAGTGTCCTTGAACCTCTCAACCAACCCAAGAATTAGAAAATTTTTAATAACTTCCATCTATTTCTGCATACCTTTTATATGGTTTTATCACATTTAAATATGTATCTGAAATGGTTTTTAAAATTAGTTGAGGTGAGTTTTAAACTCTATTGTATTGTTTTAACACTTACCTTTTCCTCTCAACATTACGTTTCTAAAACTAATTCATGGCAATGGCTGGAAAGTATCCCACTGGGTAAATGTGTCACGATAAAACCGCTGCTTATGTCAATGGACATGTAAATTTTTGTTTTGTTTTATTCATCATTTTAAAAAACTCTGTACATTTTTACTGATGTGGTACACATGTGCAATAGTATCAAAATAATATATATTCAGGAATATAAAAACGTAATTGCTGGATTGTAAACTACGTGAATGGTCATCATTACACGATTTTTTTTCTTACATTCTCTTCCTCTCTGGCTGCTCTTCCTCTCTGGCTGCGAATATTTCCTATTCGCCACTGGTTTTGAATGATTTCATTATGAGGTGCCTTAATATAGCTTTCTTCCTGTATCTTGTAAATGATGACTCACTGAGTTTCTAGTATCTGTGAGTTTAGAGTTTTCTTCCAACTTTTAACCATTATTTTAACCATATTTCTTGACTTTCTTGTTCTCTACCTCCTTTCAGGGACTTTGTTGTATGTATAATTAAGCTTGCTGTGGTTTCATAGTCATGATATATTCCTTCATTTATTTAGCTCTTCATTTGTCTCAGCAATGTTTTGTGGTTTATAGAGCACAAATCATGCACATATGTATCCCCATGTATTTCATAATTTTTGATGTAATGGTAATTGGTACTTTTAACGTTTGAACTGTGCGTTTTCTGTTGCTAGCATATAGCACTACTGATTTTTGCATTATAACTTTGTGTCTGTGATGTTGTCAAACTCACTTTTTAGTTATATTAACATTTTCCAGATTCCTTGGATATTTTTACATCGATATTTATGGCATCTCTGAATGAAGTTCATTTTCCTTATTCCTCTCTAATGTTGATGACTTTTTTCCTTAAGGCACTCTCTGGGACATCCAATATAATATTGAAAAAGCAATAATGATGTTTATTTCTTTAATTTCAGTATTCTAAAGACATCGTCTTCAGAGTTTCATAGTTTCATATGAGAAGTCCGCTGTAATTTTTGTCTTTATTCCTTAGGATATGGAATTTCTTTATTCTCTGGCTGCTTTCATGATTTTCTCTTTATTTTTTAATTTTCAGCAGTTTATGATGTAGTTAGGTGTGTGTGGGTCTGTGTGTGTCTGTGTGTTTATGCTGCTTGTAGTTCTCTGAAGTTCATAGCTTTATGGTTCATTAAATTTGGGCAATTTCAGCCATTATCTCTTCAAATATTCCTTTTCCTTATTTGCTATCTTCCATTCAGTATCCAGTTACACGTATGTTACTTATCTAATATTATCCCTCAGATTTTGGATACTCTGCTCGGTTTTTATTTGTTTGTATTTTTTAAATTTAACTATTTTTCTACTTGTGTTTCAGTTCAAATCATCTCTTTGGTCTCTTTTTAAATTCCCTTATTCTTTCCACTCATGTATCAAACTTTTAATAAACCAATCATAGAGATTTTTTACCTTTCATATTGTGTTTTTTTAATTCTAGCATTTTTATTTCACTCCTTTCTTTAGCTTTCCTTTTTCTATTGACATTTTCTATTATTTGTGTACAATGTTAATCTTTTCCATGAGTTATTTTAACATATGTATTATTGTTATTTTGAAGTCCCCATCTGACAGTTCCAACATCTAGGCTACCCCAAATTGTTTTGACCGCTGTATCTTTTGATAATTAATTTTCTTTTGATTATTTTTTTCTCACAATTCTTGACTGAATGCCAGATATTTTGTGTAGAACAGCAGAGGCTGAGGCCTATGTGCTAATTTTGTGACAAAAATTATTTTCAAAAAATTTGTGTTGAAAATTAGCATATATCTTTTTCTTTTAGGTAAAGAGTTTGGGGTTTAGTTAATGATTGAACAGTATTTGGGTTTTGTTGTTGAAATAGTTACTTTGAAAGCCCTATGGCCCTGAAATTCCTCCAGCAGCAGATATTGCAACCTGTGGTCAACGTTGGGTGTGAAGTGTTGAAAGCTTTTCTCAATTTTTCTACTTCAATTTAAGTTTTCTGTAGGTCTTGTTTGCCTCTACTACATAGAATATTTCTCTTTGTGCTCTGTCCTTCCCCCAAGAAGTAGAATGCTACTACTAGTTCATAGGTATAAAATGTTTGGAAGGAGCAGAGATTTTGGATTCTCCTGGTTCAGCCTCAATTTTAGTCAGGTACTGCGTACTTTACATAATGGTTAGGGCTTTCTCAGTATTACTGCCCCTCCCTTCTATGGCAGCCATACTTTGCTAGGTACCTATGGGGAGATCTTGGGCAAGACAGCACTTCCTGCTCCTCCCAGTAGCTGCCAGGCTTTGCTTTGTAGCTGTGCAACATACTCAAACTCAGCAGGTTTTTCCCGTTCCCAGTGGAAAGAGTTCTTTCACTCTTCCCTCAACGCGTGTCCCTTTGCTTCTCACTGATTATTCCACGAGGACTGTGATTAAGGATATTTCCTACATCTCCCTTAGGAACATACAGGTTTGGATTCTATTTTTGTCTCAGCATCAGTTCACCTTTTCCTGGGACCCTGGGCAGGAAGGTGGCCTAACCCATTACCCAGAATCAGAAGGCTTTTTTCCCTCTGCTCTTACACGAGAAGAAGGAATCTTTGCTTAGGTCTTGTGGGAAAGAGGTTTTTCTGCTTTCGCTTAAGCAGTTAAAGGTTTGTATTTTGCATGAGAGAAGGGGACTGGGAATGAGGAGGGGTCTTATACCTGTGCACCACCAAGGAGTCTCTCAGGTCTCCTGCTCTGTCCACAATCTTTTGCACAAGCACCTGATGAAGGACCATAAAAAATAATTTTTTAGTGCATGTGGACTCCTTTTGTATCTGAGGTTCTCAGGAATTCTCAATGTTATGTCAGTCCCTCAGAATTAACAAAATGTGGATGTTTATTCTTACCTACTATTATGTAGGTCACTTCTTCTTTCTGTGTTCTGCAAAGATGAAAAGATCTGTGTGTCCTGTCTTTGCTGAGAGGGTCTTGTCAGATTTTGGAATTTAGGTCATCAAGTTGCCTTGCAAACTCTGCTCTCCACTGGGCTCTTGAAACGTGATTATTTTGTATATGATCTGGGGGTAGTTTGTGCATTGTTATTGGCTTGAAATTGATTTTTTTAATGGCTTTCTAAATTCTAAGGTAAATTCTAAGAAGAACTCCTAAAGTCTTTTTTTTATAAACATCTCAAATTAAACATCATCTTTATGATAATTCTATAAAGACAATGTTTATTAGGATTTACTAGAGATTTCACATTTTATGTTTGCATCATATTGTCTTTTTGATTATGGTAAGAATATTTAACATGAGGTCTGACCTCCTAACAAATTTTTAAAGGGACAATATGTTACTGTTAACCATAGACACAATGTTTTACAGAAGATCTGTAGAACTTAATCATCTTGCGTAACTGAAACTTTATACCCATTAAATAGCAAATCCCTGTTTCTCTGTTCCCTCAGCTCCTGGCAACCACTATAATACTTTAATTCTACATGTTTAAATATATTATATGCTTTATATAAATGGTATCAGCAATATTTGTCTTCTGTTACTAGATTATTTCACATAGCATAATGTCCTCAGGGTTTATCTGTCTTGTCACATATGGCAGGATTTCCTTCTTTTTTAAGGCTGGGAAATATTCTGCTGTACGAATATACCATATTTTCTTTATCCATTTATTTGTCAACTGACATTTAAATTGTTTCTACATCTTGGCTATTGTTAATAATGTTGCAATAAACATGAGAATGTCAATATCTCTTCAAGATTCTGTTTTCAATTCTTTTGAAATTGAAGTAGTAAGATTACTGTTCATATGGTAATTCTATTTTTAATTTTTTGAGAAGATACCACACAGTTTTTCCAAAGCAGCTGCACTATTTTATATCCCCATTGACAGTATACAAGGATTCCAATTTCTCTACATCCTTACCAGCATTTGCTATCTCTCTTTTTTTTTTGAATTTTTTTTATAATAGCCATCTTAAAAGAGGTGTGATGACAAATCATTTTATTTTGATTTGCATTTCCCTGATGATTAGTGATGTTGGACATCTTTTCATGTAACTGTTGGTCATTTACATGGTTTCTTTGAAGAAGGGTTTAGTCAAATCATTTACCCATTTTTAATTGGGTTATTTGGTTTTTTGTTATCAAATTGAAGGAGTTCCTTATATACTTTGGGCATTAACCTCTAATCAAATGTATGGTTTGCAAATATTTTCTGCCATTCAGTAGATTTTCTCTTCACTCTGTTTTAGTTTCCTTTACTGTGCAGAAGCTTTTAAATTTGATTTAGTCCAATTTGTTTATTGTTGCTTCTCTTCCCTGTGTTTTTGGTGTCATATTAAAGAAATCATTGCCAAATCTAATGCCATGAAGATTTTTCCCTATTTTTTTCCAAAGAGTTTTATAGTTTCAGGTTCTATGTTTAAGTTTTTAATTCATTTTGAGTTGATTTGTGTGTGTGATACAAAGTAAGGTCAAAATTTATTATTTTGTGGGTAGATATACACTTTTCCTAACACCATTTGTTGAAGAGACTATCTTCCCCCCTCCCCTATTTCATTGTGTATCCTTGACAGCCTTGTAAAAGATTAATTTCCCATATATGCATGGGTTTATTTTGAGGCTTTTTTTGCCATTCCATTGTTCTACATATCTGTTTTTGTTCAAGCAACATACTGCTTTAATACTGCAGCTTTGTAATATATTTTGAAATCAGGAAGTATGATATCTCCAGCTACATTTTTTTTTTTCAGGAACTTTTTTTCTATCTGAGTTTCTTTGTCATTTTCTCTAAACTTTGGGGTGTCTTTTTGTGGTTTTGTAAAAAGCACCATTGGGATTTTGATTACGTTTTCATTGAATCTATAGATCATTTTGAATAGTAGATCCACTTTAACATTAACTTTTCAAATCCATGAATTCATGAACATGGGATATGTTTCCATTTATTTGTGTCTTCTTAAATTTATTTCATCAATATTTTAAAATTTTCAGGGTATAAGACTTTCACCTCCTACGTTCATTGTTAAGTATTTTAGTCTTTGTTATAATATTAATACTATAAATGAGATTATTTTCTTTCCTTTTTAAGACAAATTTATTATTGCTGTATAGAAATACAACAGATTTTTTTATATTGAGTTTGTATCTTGCAACTTTACTGAATTTATTTATTAGTTCAACAATTTGTGTGTGTGTGTGGAGTCTTTAGGGTTGTCTACATGTAAGAGCCTGTCATCTACAAACAGAGATAATTTCTTCTTTTCTAATTTGGATGATTTTCACTTATATGTTTTTATTATTATGTTTTTGTCTATTGCTCTGGCTTGGACTTTCAGTTGAGTAAAAGTGGTAAGAGTGGACAGTCTTGCCTTGTTCTGAATTTTATACAGAAAGCTTTCAGATTTTTACCATTGACTATAATGTCAATTATAAGCTTTTCATATATAGCCTGTCTAAGTTGAAGTAATTTCCTTCTATTTCTAGTTCGTTGAGAGAAATTTTTAAAATCATAAAAGGGTGTTCAATTTTACCAAGTACTTTTTCTGCATCTATTGAGATGATCATGTGATTTTTGTCTTTTGTTCCATTAATGCAGTGTATCCCATTGATTGATTGGTGTATGTTGAACCTAAGGATAAATCCTACCTTGCCACTGCATATGAATATTCAGTGCTGTTGATTTCAGTTTACTAGCATTTTGTTCAGTATTTTTCATGTCTATGTTCTTCAGGAATATTGCTTATGGTTTTCTTGTAGCATCCTTATCTGGTTTTGGTATCAGGGGAATGATGACCTCAAAAAACCAGTTTAGAAGTGTCTGTTCTCTTTAATTCTTTGAAAGTAATTAAAGAGTACTGGTATTAATTCTTCTTTAAATGTTTGGTAGAATTCACCAGTGAAGCTATGTGGTCCCACACTTTTTAAAAGTTTTTGATTACTGATTTATTCTCTCAAGTGGTTATAGGTCCATTCATAGTTTCTATTTCTTCATAATTCAGTTATTGTAAGTTGTACATTTCTAACAATTAATTCATTTCTTTTACTTTATTTGTACCACCTTACCTTGCACCTCAAAATGTTTTCCTGTGATAAGGTTTCTTCTTTCAAAATTGCTTAAGAAATTTTTGTAGCAATTGTCTGGTGATAAACTCTCTCCATTTTTATATCTTGTAAATATATATCTCATCCTCATTATTGAAGTGAATCTTTGTGATTATAAAATTCCTTGTCGATAGTTATTTTAGACAGCAAAGGCAAGTCACCTTAATAGTTTAACAATTCTCCTGAGTGGTCAATTGATTTTCTGCATGGATTTTACCTGTACTTGGTGCTTGAATCTGCTGTAAGAGCCTCCAAGTAAGGACATCAGTTAGAGTCAGGTGATAAGTCCAATCAGCACAATGGTACCTAGAGTCATGATTAAAATCTGCTTTCACCTGATGAGTATTCTATTGAAAAATGGGAATAGAATGAACAAATATTTGAGAGCTGTCGATATTTCTTGTGCAGTCACCCCCATTCTCATAAAATATAAAGCAGGCAACAACTGTCTCAGCTGACAGACTTCCTGAAATTGTGTTGTGGACTCCAAAATAGCCTTAAAATAAGTTCTACTTTGACAGTAAATCTACGAAATGAATGCTCAATAAGCCCTGGGCTTTTTCCAACGAACATCCATGATCATTGTCTCCTGAAAACTCCTGCTTCACGTCACTTTCATGATTCCTCACTTTTCTGGTTTCCAAACTTTTCTCACTGGTCACTTCTTCTCAGACATATTAGATAGATCCCATTATCTACACTCTAGAGTTGGAATGTTCCACAGATCAGATCGAGGCTGAGTCTTCTTCTCCATGTTTATTATCTTCCTTAGTGGTATCATCCAAGTCCGTAATTTTAAGTATCTTCTAAATGAAAATGGCTCTAAAATTTATATTTCAGTCCTTACATCTCCCACTGAGTTCCATGTTTCTATTAATGTCAACATCAACATCATAATATTGGATGCATCTGAAATTCAATATGGTCAAGAAGAAACAATGAATTCCTCCATTCCCTTGGCCCCAGGCTTCATCTTCTCTGTTACTCTGTATCTTTTTTTTTTTTTTTTTTTTTTGAGATGGAGTTTTCGCTCTTGTTACCCAGGCTGGATAACAATGGCGCAATCTCGGCTCACCGCAACCTCCGCCTCCTGGGTTCAGGCAATTCTCCTGCCTCAGCCTCCTGAGTAGCTGGGATTACAGGCAGGTGCCACCATGCCCAGCTAATTTTTTGTATTTTAAGTAGAGACGGGGTTTCACCATGTTGACCAGGATGGTCTCGATCTCTTGACCTTGTGATCCACCTGCTTCGGCCTCCCAAAGTGCTGGGATTACAGGCTTGAGCCACTGCGCCCGGCCTACTCTGTATCTTAGTTAACACCATCTTCAGGTACCCAATTGCTCAGGCCAAAGAAGAAAG